CCCGGCCGAGACCCGGTACAGTGCATACGAGCGTGAAATACTGGGCATCACTTGGGCTGTTGGGAAATGGCGGCACTACTTGGCCAGCCGTCACTTCGTCATCCAGACAGATCATGACTCCTTGAAAAACCTGCCCAACCAGCCTGCAGTGAACAGGAGGGTGTGGAAATGGGTGCAGGTTCTGCAGGGTTACGATTGCGATATTGTCCACATACCAGGAAAGGACAACCCTGCAGACTTTCTGACGCGCAGGAGTATTCAGGAGTTGAGGTGCATGGCAGATGTGCGTGCAGAAGAGGAGTCATTGGTCCAGCGTCTTCGTCTTCATGAGGGTGACAGTGGGGAAAACGATATTCAGAAGAAACTGGACGAAATATTTAAAAAGTCTAGTCCTGAGGGTGCAGTGGTGGCTGCAAGTGGGGAACAAAATTCTTTACATTCTTTATTGGTGACCAGCACCAGGATTACTCTGGAGGAAGACTTGAGGAACTCGATAAAAGAGGGCTACAAGCAAGACAGCAGATGGGCAGAAGTTTTGAATCAGTTGGAATTTGCCCAAAGACGAGTCACCAGGATCGGGAATCGTGACTACCGATTGAACCATGGATTCATTGAGATCAAATTGAAGGACAACACCGAGGACAGGCAACCTTGGAGATTGGTGGTACCAGATGTGGAGGACGCCCGCAAGAAGATTATGGCAGAAATACATACAGTACCATATGCGGGACATCTCGGTTACCACAAGACACTCAAGAAATTACAGCAGAATTTCTACTGGCCAGATCACACAGTGGATGTAAGAGACTTTGTGCTGGGATGTGAGGTCTGCCAGTCGGAGAAGAGTATCCACAAGTTGCCAGCAGGACTCCTTCAGCCTTTGCAACTTCCAGAGGAAAAATGGAGTGATGTCAGCCTCGACTTCATCATGGGTCTACCGGTCAGTGAAAGGAAAAACGATGGGATTCTCACGGTTGTAGACCGAGCTACAAAGATGGTACACTTAGTACCAGTCCAGCAGACCATCACTGCTGCTGAGACAGCTCGAGTCTACTGGGAGCAGATTGGACGACTTCACGGGATCCCCAGATCGATCGTCAGTGACCGAGATCCACGATTTGTGTCGAAGTTCTGGCAAGAATTCTGGAAGATTTGGGGTAGCAAGCTAAGGATGTCCAGCGCTCACCACCCCCAGACAGATGGACAGACAGAGGCAGCCAACAGGGTGGTAGAGCAAGTCCTCAGATGTACGATTCATGGCAGTCAGGAAGTCACTCATTGGGAGAAATACTTGCCCATGGTGGAGTCCGTGATCATCAGCAGCGCATCGCCATCCACGGGGTACACGCCTTTCTTTCTGAACTACGGCTTTGAGCCAGTGACCCCGTTGGACCTGATCAAGGACATGGACCAGACCAACATTGAGGGTGTCAACGTCTTTGTCAACCGAATGAAGAAGACATTCAGAATGGCGATGCAGTCAGTTCATCAAGCTCAGCAGAGGCAGAAGCGTCAGGCCGATCAGCGGCGCAGAGAACAGAGGTTTCACAGTGGGGAACAGGTGCTACTCAGTACAGAGCATCTACAGTTGAAAAATGCACCTGTACGCAAACTGAAGCGACGGTTCGTAGGACCATTTGCTGTGGTCCGTCAGGTGGGATCAGTGGCCTACGAGTTGAAGCTACCAGAAGGGTGGAGGATTCATAACGTCTTTCACACCAGTTTGCTACGACCATTCAGATCGTCCAGATGGTCTACCCCACAAGAGACAGATGATGCCGAGATCGAGCCAGAAGCTGATGAACCATACGAAGTTGAGAAGCTGCTGCGATGGAGATGGGCAGGACCCAGTGGCAGGAGGCACAAGGAGTTTTTGGTGTTATGGACAGGGTGGAGTATTGACGATGCCTCCTGGATACCAGCTGGAAATTTCACCTATGCACGTGAACTTCAGAAAATGATCAAGAGGGACAAGCCCGAGGAAGACACTAGTATGGGATAGTGTGCTTTCGGGGGCGAAAGCTACCCCAAGGGGGGAGTAATGTGACGTGGTTACTTGGGGTTAGGCTAAAATTGACATTTCTGAAGCTGCGGTTGTCGAAAAAGTGCAAATACAGCAAAATCAGCTTATTCAGGAGCTCTTGATGCCAATAGCGCCTTGAAACGTCCAATTCCGTGTAGAAACGGCAAAGTTATGGCCGTTTGAAGTTGCCGTACTTTAGCAAGGGATTCGGACCGGTAGATGGAAGCATCGGGGATTATACGGAGCTGATTTAGGTGAACGGTGGACGGTGACGATGTGCCTGGACGCGCACTTGTCTTGTCTTGTCTTGTCTTGTCTTGTCTTGTCTTGTCATGATGTGACCGCGATGGACCCGCGATCGGGCATCGCGCATGCGATATGTGCGCGCGCATGCAGTGAATCGTTGTAACACTTTTGGCCCACTCTCTGGCCTCCCGCGAGCCAGCGAACCACCGCCTCGCTGCGCCGCCACCTCTCGCCGACAGCGGGCCCCGGGGATCGATCCCCGTCGAGCATTGGGCCCACCGCGCGACCACAGGAGCGACTGCCCCGGATACGCCCACCGTCCAAGGTGGAGAGGGCCGGCTGACCTCCAACAGCCGAGCTGCAGGGCAGGGCGACCCCAACGCCTCCGGAAACCAGCGGCTGCCGACGGGGCCGCAACAGTTGTGGCGCAGGTCCCGCCATGGACGCCCATGGCAGCCGGCACTGCCCAGCAGCGTCCTGCATTCTCCCACCGTGGCTCGTGCCGCATGCCCACAGTGCGCTCATGAGGTGCACCAGGGCTTGCTCGGCCTCAGAAAGGTGATCGGCCCCCTTTCGTGGCATGGCAGGTCGTGCCCTGGTGTCCTTGCACATGCCAACGGCTTAGGGGCAGGCACAGGGGGCCGAACCATATCATGGGGCAGAATGATTTGCAATGCACCCAGAGGGAACATATTTAGGGAGTGGCGGTACTTTCTCAGTTTCCACTTGACATCAGGTTTTTGCAATCTTTCTCGATAATTTTACAGCACGCTTTCAGTTTCTCTCGTCTTGTTTCTTTGAATATTTTTTCCCAGCAACTGTCAGCAAGCGATGCTATTATTTTGTGCACAGCCGAAGCTAGTTCATTCACACGGGTGGCCAAAACTATGCCCCTTTTTCGCTGAATCCACTTTCACCTCTTCTCATACGTCTGCTCGGTGGATCCTTGGCGCATGTCAAGCAGTGAGATTTCCGGTCATGATGTGTACAGTTCCAGCCGAGCACGAACATAGCATAGAAAAGCTACATGAGAAGCAATTAGACGGCAACTGGACATGAACGAGATCACGGACATGACGGCCCCAGATTAAGCAACGATAGTCGGTATGTCCATGCATGGCAGATTGTATGCGGATACATGTCCGTATCCTCACACCTCTCCTCCACAGAACTGGACCCCGACACCTTCCGTGCATTAGTCGCGTGAGCATTGGATGCACAATCCAGGTTGGAAAGGATGCAGATACAATGAACCCGAACGAGGAGAACGGCACTTGCAGACAGTCCCTACATGGCTGCCACTGGGTATGCTTGTATCACGTGTACGCAGTCATTGTATTGCTCGGCTTGTCCACACTGCACCTTCCTCCCTTCTGATCCCTCTTGCAGCAATAATCATCGCTTGTTTTGTGCAGATAGCACCAATTGCAGGCCAGACTGCCACCGGTGACAGCATTACCAGACTTTGCTTATATTGTGCAATTCAACCGTCGATTCAGAGCGTTAACATCAGTTCACAAGGTAGGCAGTTGCGGTGTCAATGCTGCTGTGCATGACTTCTGCTAAAGCCAGCCACCAGCCAGACACGTGTGCCATGAAGTACACTTTCTTCCGCTACCCAGTGGGTACTACCCACATGGCGATAATGATGTTCCTTGGCTCTCGATCCACTGTCCGCCAGTAGATCCCTGTTCGCACATCGACAGAACCACCACAAGACACATCCCTCTTCATAGCTTTCAAATCTAACACATGGAAATGACGGGAACAAACGCGCTGGTTACATCACAAGATGCAGTCCTATGCCTGGACAGCCCTGTTTCGTCTATCCGCAAAATAGTAGAGCGCAAATTTGAGATGTGAGATGAAGGCTGGCTGAGCACTGTAACCACCAGGAAATTGGTTTGAATCAATGGGCGACGTTGTGCTCATGTCAGACGGCGATTTGCCTCCCCCAGAGGCCATGTGAGCCAGAGACTCTGACACTTTTATCACAGACAAGCCCGTGCAGGGTGTGACGTTGGGAACACGTGGTGTGCAGAAATACCCACAACCTTGACTGCAGATACGCTGACAGTCAAATGGTTTGTTAATACGATCAGCTGGGCACTGGGTCAGTGGTCTTCTGAGCTACCAAAGACAGCACCAACTCTCTGTGGCGACTACCACTGGCAAGGGCCAAGCACCGGGCCATCGCAAAGACAAGGAAAGATATATATTGAACAAGCCAGCACTATCCGTTTTGGATTACTGCATAACCCATCAGCCAAATGACCATCACAATTCGGGGCCTGCATATGGTCAAATGCAAGTCCGCAGCAACTCAACCCGTTGCACATGTTTCACTCTCCCTCAGTATCATCCATGTCAGTTCCTGCTCTACACTTGACCACAGGCGCCACAGAAGGAACCAGTGCCTACTGAATGCGCAGCATTTTCCCTGAACAAACTTGCACATCCCAGCTCAGAGTGCCCATGAATGCAACCACTGCACTCAGTTGGCATGCATAGCACACAGCAAGAAGATCATTCCTAGCAGGTGCAGTCTGGCTGTCAGCACTGCATAAGGGCCCATGCCTGGCGCCTGTCTGGGTGCAGGCATTCCTACTCTTGGGCTTTCATTTCCAGAAAGTGCGTTGCATGCACTGGATGCCAGAGTCTGTGGAGTTCACTTGATGGTGTTCACTCCTCACACGTCTTCCACACTGAAAAAGCTCCATGCAAAGTGGAATCAAGACACCAGGACAGGCTGCTTGGCATTAGCCTTGACATCCGTTTTGCACTGCTTAAACAGTTCATCCAACACTTCCGAAAGCGTGGGGTGCGTGTGCACATTGAACTTCAGTTGATCTACCGTGTTGCCCATCGCCAGTGCATTTGATGCCTCATGGATGAGGTCGGCAGCATGTAGGCCAATGATGTGCACACCCAATATCTCCAGAGTGTCCATCCTGTATATGATCTTCGCCATCCCATCTGCCTCCTTCTCGGCCAGGGCCTTGGAGTTGGCCTTAAACGATGTCTTGGCCAGACCCACCTTAAACCCCTCAGCCTTGGCCTTTTCTTCGGCAGCCTCCTGTGTCATCCCCACAAAGCTGATCTCTGGGTGTGTGAAGCATGCGGCGGGCACCGATAGGTGGTTCAGCTGGTGCGGCCGGCCGCAGATGTTCTCCACTGCAGATATACCCTGTGCGCTGGCGGCGTGCGCCAGCATGAACTTCCCATTGGCGTCCCCGATGCAGTACACGTGCGGCACCACGCTGCCCTCCCTGTCCAACACCTCCATTTTGGGGCTCACAGGGATGAAGCCCCGCCGGTCCGTCTCCACGTTCACCGCGCCCAGGTTGAGCCCCTGGGTGTAAGGGGCCCGGCCCGTGGCCACCAGGCAGGCGTCCACCTCTAGGGTGTCCACCTTCTCCTTGGTGTGGAAATCCGTCAGCTCGATCTCCACGGGCTTCACGCCCGGCACCCCGGGCGTAACCTTGGTGGCCAGCACGCCCGTGTGGCTGTCGATCGACCGGGGGTCGATCAGCAGCCGCTTGGCCACCTTGGCGATCTCCCCGTCAAACCCGGGCATTATTTTATCCATGGCCTCAACGAAGGTGACCTCAGACCCCAGCGCCGTGTACACGTCCGCGAACTCCAGCCCTATGTAGCCGCTCCCGATGATGGCCACCCAGTCCGGCAGCCACTCCAGCTTGAGCGCATGATCTGACGTGAAAACCGTCTTGCCGTCGATCGGTATGCCCGGCGGCACGAACGGCACTGACCCCGTGGCTATGATGAAATCCCGCGCGGTAATCTCCCCGCCCACGTCCACCCGCCCCGGTAGCGCATACCTCATCCTGTTGCCGCCCATGAACCGCGCGCTGCCTCGCAGGATGTCCACGCCCAGGCCCTCCAGCGACCGCTGCAGGTTGCCCTGGATCGTGCCCGCCAGATTCGACGCGTGGTCGGCGATCGCCTGCCTGTCGTAGGCCACCCCCTCCACCGAAATCCCCAGACTCTTGAGGTGCATCTCGTTCTTGAGCTCCCGCACCCGCCCCGCCGCAGCCAGGAGGGCCTTGGACGGCACGCAGCCACGGTTCACGCACGTGCCGCCGATGTCATGGCCCTCGACCACGGCCGTCTTCAATCCCTGCTCCACAGCATGCAGCGCCGCCCCGTGGCCCCCAACCCCGCAGCCGATCACCACCACGTCGTAGTCGTGCTTGCCGAGCGCGATCGCCCCCACGCAGGCCCTGCGGGCTTCGCGGCGGATGGATCGGCGACCCGGCGGGAGGAGGGCGGGCGGCGGGGGGCGGGCGCCCAGGGCCCGAGGCGCGAATCGCCCCCCGGGGAGGGGGCTGGCGATCGGCATGGCCGGGGGTTGGGGAATGGCGCGGCTGGGGGGCATGGGGGGGGTGCCTGGGTTTCATCTCTTAGGCGCCTTCGGTCGTCGTGTGTTGTGACGTCCGGGTGCCACGTGTGAGCGTGTGAGGTGTGCCAACCGGACAGAATACGTCATTGCCTCCGTCTTTTCCGTGTGGATCCCTTCTCCTTGCGCTGACGGAGAGTATATTACTCCCCGTTCTTGTTTCCTGGGATTCGGTTCTTGTTCCGCTGACAAGGCCAGTCCCGGTGCGTGGATCCGTAGTTGGGGCTTAGGGTGTCCGAAAACAAGAACCGAATCTCAGCAAACAAGAACGGGGGGTAATTTTATGCCGAGCGACTAATCTCATCCCCACGGAAGCAAGCGCGGAGAAGCACTCCTCGGTGTTTGTACGCAGGCGGCAGAGGAGGTGGGGCCTGGTTGGAGCACCGGAAACTGCGGAGTCGTGATGATCGGCGGGGGAGGTGAAGTACTGCGGGAACGCTGGTCGAGGAAGACCGCAATATCATTATTCGTGTTGTGGAAAACCCCACCTTACTTTCTGTGCGGAAGGGGGTGCCCATTGTGTGGCACGTTCCCCTTTTGCTTGTAACTACGAATCACCTGAACCAGGAAGATCACATTTTTTTAACCAATTGATGCTCCTGCCGTCTTCAGTTCGCCGGCAACTAGCTGGAGGGCTTGTTGGGCACCCATTAACTGTGGGCACCTGAAATTGATGCTGCCGTCGTTGTTCTCTACCCTATTATGCGTTCCCAGCCTCCAGCAGCATCCCCAGTCCATTATGCCTGATCACAGGCTGCGAGCCACAGCGGCGAAAGCCCGCATCCCATCGCAATTGCATACGGGTGACCTCCCCACACACTCGTGGAGCGCACACTCATGGGTGTCAACTCGCCTCCCTTCCAGCCGACCCTCCACTTCGATGCACATGGACGGTCTCTTGAGCCCACCTGGTCATGTACTCCCCCATAACAAAACACTTACAACTTCACCACAATCCAATGTACTGTAGCCGAAGTCCCCATCTTCAAGTTTGCACTTCGCTTCGCTAGCACTTAACGCCACCCAGCGAGTGTCTCACCCCATAAGTCAGCCCCTAATCCCGTACACCACTCCCTTCACTGCCTCTCCACACCACAACTAAACCGAAACCCACTCTCTAGGGCGGGGGGAACCGGGTTCGAAACAAGATATGGAGGGGGACCGAGGGGGTAGCCTAAATAGCCGCCCCCGCTCAGCCCCGCCAAAGCCCGCCAACACCAAGGGCGCCAAGGTTGGCGACACCTTGTAGTTTCGTACTTTGACTGAACCACAATATTAGGGTGACCAGAAATCCCAAGGGACAGGGGCTGACTAAGCCCCAGGTTCAAACTGCGCCATTTGAATCACAGGCGCAGCCCACCCGTCGTTTCCCTTGGCAGAAACCTATTAATATGATAGTTAATTTCATAATAGTATCTTGGATATGGAGCATCGATATCCAGCACCGTACAGAGTGTCTGGCGCCTCAAATGCCCATTCCCGCTTCCCGAGTCAGAAGCTCGTTAACTAATCGTTTAACGACTGATGATTACACGGCAAAAGGCGTCCAATTATGCCCCAGCTCAGAAGACGTTTAGCAAACAGAGTTGTTTGCAGACAACGTCCGCCCTCAGCAGTTGGTTTGCCCCAAACCTCAAACCCCCCAACTGCTGAAGAATACTGCTCCTTCACCGAAAGACCCCTGAAAGTGTTTCAACAAAAAAATACAATGTCATCAACAGAGCGGTGAACCCAGATACTGCTATGACATATTCCTGTCCAGCGGACACTGACAGTACCCTGGGTATATATGTGACGTGACGGCCTTTGCCCATCTGCAAGACCCACCTTGCATCTGTCTCTTCGTGCCCTCCCCGCGCTGTCATCCCCACGGACGCATCACTGCGCTATCAATATCATGTCGGAACATTATTCCGTGAACAGGTGAAGTGTTAACCCCAAACGCCGCTGGGGAAGGTCCCGCGGTACCACCACATCCGCCCGTTATCTGTGAACAGAATCCACAGTCAGAGGGCGATACGTGGATATCCCCCTTGATTTGACGATGTGTCTGCACCCGGCCACTGTCCGCGCACAGCCGGGCGCACCAACCGCAGGCCGCCACGTCCCTCACGCCGGCGGCCGGTGACGCCATCCCGCAGCTTCTCTAGGACGGAATTGACCAGTCAATAACGTGATGTGCCCCGATGCCTTCCCGTCGGGTGCCCCGTACGTACGCATCCGCGTTGTATTGTTTGGCGCCACCTGGTCCGAAAGCCGACGCAGGCCCCCTGCGCGGGGCTGCCAAAGCGGCCCCGCACAACCTGTCCGCCAAGCCGCGCCATCTTCGGCCTGCCCGGTGCACCGCGAGGCTCGCCTGACGGCTGAAGATTCGCGAGTCAAGGCGAGCCCTGCGGCGCATGACGCTCTTGGAGGCATGCATCGAGGTGGGCATTGGGGAGGGTGCTGCGCCGCAGCCGGGACTCGGGCTTGATTTGCGTTTGGGACGGATCGGGTGACTGTCTACGGCGGTGCAGGTGGTGAGCCGATCATGGATCAGCCGCGAGTATCGGAGGCAGAACCACAGAAAAATGGAGGTGAGCGGCGCGGTCTTTGCGTTCAGGTTTGGTGGCGGCCGGTGGACGGCCGCTGTACCTGACGGGCCGACGCCCGCCCTCGCGCGAACTGGGCAAATGAGTGGCCCACGCCCCGCCTGTGGCATGGATTCTTTGTCTCTTTGGGGGACAGTTTCATGACGGACAGAGGTGGCGCGCATCGGGCGGATGGTGATGGTCCACGATGGGACGCTGACGCTTACACCCGCGAAGCGCCTGGTCACCGTGTGGGCATCTCTTGATGGCGGTGCTTGTACGTCGGCTGGGAGGATGGGCCGAGTTGCAGGGCGCGTGTTCACGTGTCGGGCTGGCTGTGCAAGTGTGAGGGGAGCAATTTGGTTTCGGTTTGTGATCTGGGCTGCGCCCTCTCCAGTTGGGATGCTCACCGAGGGCGGGATGCCAGCGCTGTTCTGTTGCTGTGGTGGAGCATTGACGCCTGCCTGTGTTGGACGCACAGATGCTGCCATTGGATGTTGGCAATGTGCTGCTGGAGGACGTGGTGAAGAGGCATGGCAAGCGCCTGTCTCCGGCCATGATCGCCGCTTTCAAAGAATGCGCGAGCCGCATAGCCCTGGATGGCTGGGGCGCGTCCCACGGAGGGGGGCAATGGCTGGCAGAGATAGCTCAGTACAGGTCTGGACATGGGTTGGAAAAGACTATTGTTCTCAGTCGTCCTGTCAAAGACTATGTTCAGGAATACGCTCAGGGGTTATGTTCGGGACTATGTTCAGAACTGTGTTCAGAGCCCAGGACTTTGTTCAGTTCTGAAATTCAGAGTGGGTACCTGTGTGAAGAGACTGCCCTTCCGGATATATGCTCACTGGATGGGCAAAACAGTGTCGCCTGACCATTGAAGCTTCTTGTGTTTACATGCATCTCGAGTGATGCACACTCCCTGTCAGGCTGTTGCAAGCTTGCCTCAGCACAGCCAAGCCCTTCTTGACCCACCAATTGTGTTAGGGGCAACTGAATGGGAATGTTACTACACTGGACCGTGCTTGTCTTTTACCAATTGAGTCAGGCGCAGAAGAGTAGAGGGCACATCCCCTTGTCAAATCGATGGAAAGAAACTGCGTGCACAGCATTAACTGTCTGAAAAAATTTGTAGCATTGTGCCTGAGGTTTTTTTGCACCCCACAACATATGATATAGCGAAGGAGATATCGACAATTCTTGGCCCTTGGACTCCTGGGTTAGGGGCAAGGCTAGATCGAATGTGCCATTTCCATTCCCTGCAGGTGAAAAATTTTCCTCAATGTGAATCTGATCACTCATATGAAGTTGCACTCCTATAACTTGCTCATAATTGTTGGGCTGCATTCAATGTCCAAAAGTCACCTTGATGTTGCTGCTGAGAATGGCAGCATGAATTATACTGCAGCAGCTGGCATCAATGCTGCTGTTCCCAGAATGTGCAAGTGGGCATGCTTCAATTGGACAATAGGAATCACGGCCAGTGACGCACAGTGCTGTATGCCTTTTTTTAAGGTCATTTTTACATACTGTGATACAACAGCTGTGCATCACAGCTGGGACAGATTTGCTGACTGGGCTGTTGTCGATGCAGGCACCTGACTTCACTTAAGATGAACAACTGCAGTTTGTCACACAAGGCAAAAAGCAACTACTTGTATCTGCTTGAAGGCCTTGCAGACAAGCTGATCACCCTTCATCTTCAACGATGCGGATGCTTCACACAGTCAGCTTTGCATCACATTTCACAATGCCACAAGCTGCAGGATCTCGATCTGTCAGGTCAGACGAATTTGATGACCCTTGCTGCAGGCATGCCGTGATTCTAGCTACCTGTTTCATGGCATGCGCCAAAACGAACAGGCTTTTCTCTTCCTGTTTTGGCGACCATACTACCTGCCAAGTGCATTGCATGGCTCCCACTCGCTACATGTTTGGTGATATCTCGATGTGGGTTGCTTTGGGTGAGTAAAGTTGGGCTGTGACGGCCGGGGTGCTGTCATCCCACCTGCCACAGCCTTGGGCGTTCAATCACAAATTGCCACTTGGCATCCTGCAGGGACATCCATGTGCCTTCCTGACAGCCACACTTTGAGTGAGGCCCTCACGTGCTTCACCAGCCTCACCTCTCTGGCCCTGGGGGACCTGAGGGCTGTTAACAATGCTTGCTGCGGCAGCATATCAACCCTCACCCATCTCAGAGTTTTGGCACTGGCTGGCTGCGACAGCATCACCGACACAGGTGTGTTCAAGCTGGCTGCCCTCACAGGGCTCACTTCCCTGGACATCTCTTGGACTAGTGCCACTAGGCCCCCCAAAATCCAGGGTCTGAGAGACCTGTCCATGAATCACTGCACCTTGGCTGGCACTGAAGATGACCAGGGAGGCACCTCCCATTGGCCCCTCATAGAGAGGCTGGACCTTCGGGGGGCAGACATCAACAACAGGCGCAATGGATGGGAACTTCTTCACAGTCTGGCAAATGTGTGGTGAGTATTTTACCACAAACGCGACTGCTGTGTTGCCCTCATTGTCTTTGCAGAATCTGCTGCAGCTAATGTGGCACCCATGATAATCTGTCCAACTGATCAGTTGCAAAGAATCGTTGCTGGCCTGTGTCTGCTTCCTTTATTGGAATCCACACTGGCATTGCTCGCGAGTTGACTAAGTGTTGCCAATCGCTTGGATGCTGAGGTGAGTGGCGATATGAGGCTGATTGGAGTTTGCCATGCAATTTTGGACCCACTTCGTCAACACTGGCTTGCGCTAGCCTTTACTAGTTTGCGCACTAGCTTGCACACTAGCTTGCACACTAGCTTGCACACTAGCCTGCACACTAGCTTGCACACTAGCTTGCACACTAGCTTGCACACTAGCTTGCACACTAGCTTGCACACTAGCTTGCACACTAGCTTGCACACTAGCTTGCACACTAGCTTGCACACTAGCTTGCACTGCTCATTGCATCCTGCCCCTCTTGTGTGACACACAATAGTAATGAACATTGCACCTGGACCTGCAAACCTATACCAGGACTTAGGACTAGGGCTCAGCTGGGCTGACTTAGGGAATGGTTAAATATGAAATTTGCATTGGGGGAAGGAGACCTATAGGTAATGGTCGTTAATAACTCAGGTGTTTTGATGGGAACAAATAGCGAGAATCATGACCCTCACTGTGCTGTTGATATGCAGGGGATCGGTGAAACCTCTTGTGCACCTGGACATGGGTAACACTGATATGCTGGACTTTGAGTTTCTTCAAGGCTGCAGCAACATCACAATGCTGAACTTGTCGGGCACCAAGATCACAGACGTTTCATTGATCTGTCTTGCCTGGCTGTCTGAACTAACCAACCTCCTTCTCAGTCACACACTTATCACATCGCAGGGGCTCAAGCACTTGGCGGCATTGCCCAACTTGAAGGTTGGTTGCCTTCAAAGGTCGTCGATGCTTGACAGCTAGGCAGCAGTACATTAATTGCACATCTGTGTGCCATGATGCTAATGCACTGTAACATTTCAGGATGTTGGCCTTGTTGTCAGTGCAAATGTACACATTGTAAATCCCAAGACCTTGTAGTGGCAAGGTCTGCTGAGCTCTCTTGCTTGCATTGTGTTATGCTGGGGCCATGCAGCCACATACTGTAAGTTGGTGACATGAGCGAACCAACTGTTGCCAGAGTAACTGCCTTGGGAGTCTAGTGTGTCCTGTGTGTCCTTTAATGTTAACCCAAGGAGCATACAGGGCTATCTAGCCCCTCCTGTTGCCTCAACAAACCTGCTCTCAGCACAACTCCGCTAATTGTCCTGCAGTTGCCTGGACTTTTTCTATGTCCTGTGGCTAAGTGCAAGATATCCCCAGGGCAATCAGTCCAGATCCATGCTTTGGTCTCTTTTTGTTCATGACTTTGTGAGACAAACGAAAGTTGTGTCTTATTTCGTTCGCAGTTTCTCACAAGGTCTCCATGATGTGGGCTCATTGAAGCAAGTGACCTCCAATGGTTGATTGGGACAGCAACTTAATCTCTCCCTTTCTAGGGAGGCAGTCCTATTTTATGACATGGTTCTCTTGAGTAACAGTTCCTCCTTCCCTTTCAAACACATTGCATGTCCTGATTCCTTGGCAGGTTCTTGCGCTGGCCTCCACAAGGATCGGCAATTCTTCCTTTGTCCATTTGGCTCGGATGCCATCCCTCACCGATGTGGACATGAGCGACAATGCCATTTGGTCCACCATCCACCCAACTGCCAGCAACCAGAGCGATGTGGAGCTGGCAGCGATGGTAGCACTGGATCGGCTGTTCGACAGGCAGCAGAGCTTCCACTCCGAAGTGGAGGGCGAGATCGACATAGCAGGGATGTTTGTGGAGAATTTGGACGCAGACTTTGAGGCCCAAGAGTTGAACAGGGTGCCCTCGAAGTCATACGAGGTGGCTTCGGGCAGCTGCACTGTGGCGGCGCCTCATCTTAAGCGCCTGAACCTGATGAACACGAGGTGGACAGACTGGGGAGTCGCACAGCTGGTCAGCTACAGTCCAGGGCTTGTGGCGCTGGCTGTGGGAAACGACGCCCTTGGAAATGGCGCCATAAGGGCCATACAGGGATTGGTGGAGCTGGAGACATTCGAAATGAAGGTGTGTCGGACGTGTCATGATTGGGAAGAGGTGCACATGTTTGCACACCAGAAAGTTAACGTGTTGGCAAGTTGTTCCAGGGTGGCATTGCTTACTCAACTTTTCCTATATTTATCGGTACTGCACTCACTGTTCTGAATTGTTTACGTTCTCTACAGTAATGTGCATCATGGAGTATAGAGCAATATGAGGTTTGCCAGTCGACCAGTAACTTTCGAGTGCCAGATTTTGCCTGTTCAAGAGGTCAAATGCATTCAAAAGAATTTCCAGATAAATTGCATACTCCGAGGTTTGCAAGCCCAGACATACTTGAGCATCCACCACAAAATGATGCTGAAGAGCTAAGTTCTAGCAGCAATCTATGCTGAAGGAATCACCCATAATTTCGGGGCACCAACTGCCCATATTTGAAGGATAGGCAGTGCAGTGCTTTTAAGTTGTGTCTCAATTGCAATCTCCAGTTTCACGCTCTGGATTTGGTCACGCCCATGTTAATTGAAATCGAACGAATCACTGGTTTGTGGTCATGGCAATTGCCATTCAGTGTGTGCACCACTAGCAGGGAGCTGGTGGGGCCTGGGGTTTTTGGTCTTTGCATGTAAGGCATGCCTCCACAATGGCAAAAGCTAAGAATGCATTCTTGAGGAAGAGTAGCAAAAAAGATATGCAGCAGCGGTCTTTCAAGAGCTTGGAGTACGGAGGAAACTGAATGTGGCCACAATACACAACCCTCGAGATGGTAGCAATCTGTGAGATGGGCATTCTAACACGTCATTTGTATATGTTTGTACTTATTCCTACTCTGCAAATATCGACCCAGAGCTTTATGCTCACCGCTGGGTTGCTGGGCAACAATGACAGGCCAATGGTGCTCGATGCGTTGAGTTGAACTTTGCAAGCATGGCTTTGCACACAGCTATTTTACCACACATATTTTACCACTAAACGACGCATTGGCTCCTCTCTTGGCCACAGCTCTGCCTTCTGCATGACTAGCTTGCAGAATTTGTTGGCGATGGTCAGCACGGGTTTTTGCACCATTGTATCGCATGCCCTGCCTCTAGCCTCAGGACGCATGAACATTGAAAGACATCGTAAGCAATGCTAGGCTGTTCGCATTTGTTTGATTTTGCACGCTCCGGCTGGCTGGCTCTTGCGACGGACGCACGTTTGCACAGGGAGGAATCATCACCATGGACGGCCTGGAGGGGCTCGAGTCTTGTGGCAAACTGAGGACAGTGAAGGTCACTTGCACCTGGAGAGAGTTGCTGAACGACGAGCAGCTGCTTCATTTGTACGACCGCGTGCCGGCGCTGGAAGACCTTTACATGAACGGGCTCTTGCTCAAAAGGCAGCGGAAAGCGAGCGAAAATTCAACTGGCGTGTGTCCCGAGCCATGCTTCGAGGTGGCATATGACGCCAATGTCTGCAGGCGATACTCCATGGACTTGCTCATGCGGTCAAAGCTCCGCTTGGCACGGAAGATGGCTGCTGGAGACTCCGAAGAAATGCGGATAGTTGCTGACTTGCGTGGTGCTTTGTTGCCAGACGTCAGAGCTGCTGCTGGCCAGTCTGGAAATGCGCAGCAGCATTGCTCCACTCAACGCTGTGGATGCTTGTGTTAGGTACGGAGTGGTATTGAGTGCTGTGCTCCACAAAGGCACGATACGCAGATGACCCAGCAGGCGTCGTCACCTGCTGGGCAATTTTCCGGATAGCGAGAATACCGAATTCGGACATTCAATGTCGAACTTCAAGGGGACCTCGAACCAAGGAATACACAGGTTAGGAACTTTCAACTCGAACACGTCTAGAACTTTGGGAATGATCCTGTTGGTCGCAAATGAGTGGCAGTTGTTGCCCAAATCTCCGTTGCCAGTGCATTCACTGACGTCTGTCAATGACTCATGGGCAGTTGTCCACCAACACCCCCCTGTAGGTGTCGATTCTTTGCGCAGTGTATATTGCACACCCGACGTTTTGGACCAAATGTTATCAGGTGGGGCGAGAGTGTATGACATCACCACAACACGCAAGGGCGCCATTTCCAACAGAGCGCCAATGCAACCCAGCAATGCCACTGCGTGTATGCGCAGGACTTGGGACTGTCCCACGCGACACCCCTTCCTGTGAACGATATCACAAGTGTTACTTCTTTCTGACCGGGAGGGGTTAGGTACACCTGAA